CGGTTGAAGTTTTCTAAAAAATCTGAAAACTTCCTATATGAGCTCAACAACATTAACTGGGATGTAGCAGGGCATGTTAATCCATTCGTTACACCAGATGTTATTTTACGACCGGAATTAGAATTATTCGCCTGGAAAAGCGTTTCTTGTGGTATTAATATCCCAATTTTAATCCCATTGAAAAAGCTGCGCTCTTATTTTTCATATTAGTGAACTGTGAGGTAGTTCAGATATAGGACAGCCTGAGAACACAGATCAAGTGCGTTATATTTTCTCCATTACAAATTTAGAATAAGTTAATTTCATGATTCTTTGGGGACTTAACTGATTCATAATTTGAGAGAAAATAGCGTAGTAATGTGGTCTGATTTGCACTGATTTGGGTTCACTACGATTAGGAATGTTCTTTAATGAAGGCAGATTTAATCAACCCGCTTAATGTCAAACAATTTTGTTACTTTAATGTCGCTATCACTTTTTTCTTCCAATCATTTCAAGCAATTACTCGAGTCTAAATTGAATCATTTTTACAATTTTCTAGTCTTTATTTGAAATATTGCCGTGATAATCTTTTGTATGGGACAATATAAACAGCCAAATTTGATTTGATTTCAACGGTACATTTTCTTATTCTATTTCGCTACAATTCAAGTTCTCCCCAGCGAGCTGTAATGATGCGGACAATGATTCGAATCTGTGTTTGATGTCAAACTTGATATGCTCATGATATGAACACGCTCTTTGATAATCATCCCTATATACAAGGTGTATCAAATATATTATTTAATAAATTCAATGTATTCTGATATATGTACCTTATATTTATAGAGTTAATAATATAAGAATTTTAATTTTTTACACTTATCTCTACACAGTGTCTTGGGGAGATTGTAACGAGGATTTCTCAACTTTAATGTGTATATCACATAAGGCCCGTCGCAAGTTTTATTGGAAATACAGGAACCAGAGACATCTGACTGAAAATTGGTGCTATCGGTGTCCAGGATATATATACAAAGTAAAAGTAAATACATACATTTTAAGTCACAAAGATATTTGGCACTTGTTGCGGAAATCGATTCGATTATTTTCTCAATTGAAAGGATAAATTGCCGAACATGGAACAATAACAATGTAGCTAGGAAATGAAATGAAAGTGACAAATGAAAACAAAATTATTTCAATTTTTTTTTCAGAAATAACGAAAACAACTTGACATTTAAAGAAAATTGCCATTTAATTTTTTTTTTGTTTTTTGGCCATTGATAAAAATCAAGATCTAAGATCAACTCAAATATTCTCGATAGCTCTTATAAATGCAAGTTACATTAGTCATAAAGAGTACCTTGTACGTGACAAATTGCTTACAATGTAGCGTAATCAAAACGTTGTCATATGATGCACAAATGACGAAAGATCCTGTAGAGTACAGATTTAAACATACATGTATCTTATTATTTATATATTCTGTCCTAAATTCGTACATTATTGGAATCAGAAGTGAACCGGAGTTTTACGTCCTACTTATTGGCATCTGATTTTGGCTATAATGCACAATCAACGCCATGCGGTGTGCATCGAAAATACAAGCTGAATCAACGATATATTTATTGTACAAGTTACAATATTACGATCTAAATCTTTGTGAAGAGCAAGCTTACGGTGCCTAGTACTCAGAAATGTGGAAATGTTGCATACGTTGTACTGTAATATTACAGAAACTACGATATCGAGAGGAAAAAGCGGAAGTGAAATTCAACAAGTTCCATCGATCTATAGAAGAATGAAGCTTGTATGCTTTCAGTATTTGATTCAAATATGATGTTTATATTTTGAAGAAGTAGCGACGGTAATCAATGGATCCATACGAATTCAAAGGAAAGAAAAATTGACTTTTCTGAAAGACATACTCTAACAACAGTCTTTTTACTGGTGCACCTTTTAATATATATATATAGTATTGAATTTATCGATGTCTAGGTTTTGAAAAGAATAAAGAATTATTGAAAAGGAATACTGAATGATTATTGAAAATGTCTTAAGATCACAATGAGAACAACTGTGATATTGCTTGTTAAAATACACTTTGTTGTTAATGAAGTAGACTTATTTTATTAAATCCCCTAGCGCGTGAAATTGATGAAAGCTTAATGTAACGTTTCATTTTCACTAAGTCAATAAATAATAGGTACTAAATTAAAATCTTCAACTTGAAATATTGATAGGTTGTTGATAGTTACGGTGAAACTAGAGACAGTGATCTGTATTTTATTGTCTTACTATCGATTGTATCTGGCGGTTTGATATTTAAAGTTACACGTGTACTCATGTTGTCGTACTATGGTACTTTCGTTTTGCATAAATTGTTCATTTCCTGTTATACCAAAAAGCCATACTCAAGTTGCATGTTGACAGGTTTCAAAATGGCAAGGAAATTGCAAGAAGACAATGAGCGGAAGTGTGTGATCTTTTTTTCAAATAACCAAATTGTTGTAACAAAATATCTGATCTTAAAGTCATTGTAAAGAGGTTTTCAAAACTTTCTATGTGTATCGGTGACATTTTTGGTATTGATTTATACCATTCCAATTTTTAATCGGAGGTCTGTGGTTCTTGCCATTTCCCTTAAACTAAGCGTTTTATTCGAAAGCTACAGGCGTCGGATTAAAATTAGAATGGGATGCCCCTCTATACAAAAAAGTTTACAAGATCCCGTGGTCCATATGCTTAACCATTTTTTGTTTCGTTCATTTTATGTCAAACAAATTAGTTTGCTCCATTTAATTTAGTTTAATATATTCCTGATGAATTAACTGAATAGCCGACTGGCATCAGGTGTTCTAGGTTGCATTGTCTTTTCTGATTGTCAGCCTTTGTCTATTAAAAGTCGTGACACTAAGTTATCTTTAACCTCTGAAGGTGTATCATTATGATATGATATATTGATGTAGACTGGTTTAGATAGTTATTATCATTATAAACTTATTAAATACAGCCCTGGTTCGTCTACAAACCATCAAGAGACCATCATTCGTGTTGGAAACTTGGCTCAAATTCGACAGTAAATGACAAAGTTATAGAGTCTGCTTTTATATAAAGGATAATAATACCGTGGTTTCTTCTTCCCAGAAGAGGTGTTTAATCTTGAAAACCTCTCCACAGATGCAATATCTGCGCTACTTAAAACGATTTACGAGGCACGAGAAAGATGAACCTAAACTACAAGTTTTTAAAAAGATTTCTCCAGGGCATCTTAAAAACTTGCAGGATTATGATGGAATGAGATATCGATATTCTTTTTGTCCCATGGCAACATGAAATATTAGCGCATAGAACATAATGGAGCGTTTTTAACCCAGGAAAAAAATGTTTCAACAATTTTAATATGATTGAAATGCACTCAGATGTGAAACAGGATGACATTTTAAGAACAACTAAGTTTAAAGATATTCTAGGTTCCATATTAGAGTTCATACAAGCATGTGATACGTTGAATAGCTAATAATACAGCTGTTCAATTTCCCGTACATTGTATATTAAAATATCAAAATGAACTGATATTCAAGAAGGACATAATGACACCATAAAATATCCCTCAATCTAAATGCTAAGACACGTTTTGTTCCTTACAATTGGGTAACTTTTCATGAGTTGTTTGGCTTCAAATTGGAAGATACTATAATAAAGCTGTACATGACAAGAAAGACAAGGCTTCGCTTTAACATCGGAGCATGTCTTCGTATTCACATTTTCCTTTCCAACATCAAGTGGAAAAAGGTGAAAGGTTTTTTATATGAAAAGCAAATACAATTGGCTTCTTGAATATTTGTGATCACTCCTATTTCTGTTTATTTAATCGTTCAGTTTTATTTTTGTCAGTGGATAATCGAGACTGATTGATTCTATGTACGTGTGTTGTTGATAGTGTACATATATCTGTAAGGAATCGTATGTACTTATAATTATTCAAGATGTTGAATTTTCTGTTTCCAGATGAATGATAACCCAGACTATATGAGGGAATGGTATAAAATGATGTCTTGTTAAAAGTATATACCAAAGTACGTATTTTTTGTTTATATATACTAAATAACAAAAAGGATGTCGATGGTAAAACCAAAGTATCATCAGGTGTTCCAGATGTTCCCAGTGCGCTGCCAAATCTTTTGCCTTCAGTCATCATTTTCTCCTTTGCTTGCTTCAAAAACTTCTGAATATCTTTCATTGGATATCAACTGATATTAAACACCATTGTACGATACCATAAGAGGTAGATACAAGAGAGATTGAACCGAGTATATCATGGACGAACCAGGTTAATTAGTTTTTCAACTTGGTAAATGTTGAATAATTTATATAGTATGTAGTTAACTTTACCCCTGATATGTGCAATATGTAATACTAGTATTTTTGTTAGTTCTCACTAGTTCATTCCATGTCGCATATTAATATAACACCTTGTGGTTCTCATGTTCTCGGGTGCAAGAAAACTTGTTCAAATAGGGCTTTGATGTACTTCGTCCTTTGTCATGATTTATCACAATGCCACGAACAATTTCCCAAGTAAACGAAGTTGTCCGCTCTCAGCTTAGTAAATTGTTGAACATTAATAAAAAAAAATAATCTGTATTTTATGTTTTGTGGTAGACTAGTAGAATGTAACTATTATTGCTCCGGCTAGGAAGGTCAGGGAGCAAACTATTTCGTTATTCATATACAAAAGCAAACAACTGGAGTGATAATGACAATCACAATTTAAGAGTCTGGTCTCATTTGTTACAGATACAGCTCAGTACCTTTAATGTCTTACGATTTCCATAAAATATCCCATACTCAGATTTATTTTAGCTGATGAAAATATACGTGGAAGCATTTTCCATAACACGCATTTATCTTCTCAGTTCCTTGACGTTCCAATTGTCTTCAGAACAATAAAAAGTCATTTATTTTATTTTCAGATTGATGTCTCGGAAATGACTCTCAGCTGTTGAAGTTTAAAAATGGAAAGAATACCGGAAATTCCTTTTCCTCCATTTGATGATGCAGAATCAAAACCCGTTAGAAGTAATGGTGATTTGGCTCACTCTGAAAGCCTTAATCTTTCTTTGTCTGACAGTTTTGTGACGGCCCATGATGGTTCCACGATATGTTCTGATCAGTTTAGAAGTATGACATTTGACAGCTTCCGGAGTGTCTCCACCGATACGTTTACTACTCCGCCAGCGTCGGAAACATCAAGGAGTAGATATGCTGTGAGAGAATTACCCCGGTCGATAACCATAACTTCGTCTGATGATGTGCCTGACGATCAGACATTTCGTGATTCCTCGGACTCTCAACAAACTGTCAAGAGTGCTGTTCTAACTAATGGAAAATTTGCTTCTGAATCCTTTTTATCGCATAGCAAAAGCCAAAATTCTATGAAAAGTATTAAGCAACGTATGTCGAGTGGGAACTTAAGTTCTATGAGCAGCTGTTTTCGCTCAAACAGTGAAAAGTTAAAAGATAAAGGAAAGGGCAAAGAGAAAGTTGGAACAAGTAAAGCTAAGAAAGGTTCTCGCATATCTCTGCCATTGTCTAAGTCACTTCAACATTTCTTCCGAGACTCTCAAATGATGAAGACCCCTGGTAGTAACATTACTACACCATCCGACCGTTTAAACAGTACAGCTACTACACCTGATGAAAAGTCTGATGTTACTAAGAAAAGAACTGGTGGTACTAAAGCCTTGCTTATCCAGAAGGTAGGTCAAACACTGAAGACACCATCCCCGAAAACGCATAACCAATACACAATCTTCCCATACACCACAATTACTTACATAAGTTAACTCAACGTTCATTTGCTCTCTTTTATAAACGATTTTAGAAAAAAAAGTAACCAGCTCTGCATTCAACTGTCTGTCTGTCACATGTAGCTTGTATCTAAGCCAAGATCTGAAACGTATTAACAGAGCAGCTCGTTCATTAGATACAAGTATTAAATCATTTCATACAAAGGGTGCAGACCTCGATCAATCTCTTGATGAAGGTTATTGCAGAGTATGTCTCGCCTTGAGAATTATCACAGCGTTTCCGATTAGAACCACTTTGTCAACCACAGCTAATTCTCGGCTCAAATTGATGTTAAATTCTACAGGGAGATTATATGTATAAATCTTATTATGTTCTATACACGAGGGATTTCAGATTGAGTTATTGTCTGTTATTATAAATAAATGTAATTAGACAGTCATGTAATGGTAAGAAATACTAATAATAAACGTCTGAATGGGAAAGTGGGTAGTAATCCGTATGAAGATTTTCGGAATAGACTTTCAGAAATTGGTAGAATTATAATTTGCAATAAAACTAAATTAACTAGCACATATTTTGAGGCTTGTTCTTATTGACTCCATTAAAAGATGCAGATCATAAGGCATTTCTGATCAACAAGTACTTTGATAAGTCTAGGAAACTATCTCAATTTTGTAAGAAAAAATAAAAAGCACTTGAAACTTCGTTGAAACTAGATTAATTTTCACACTAATATCTTATCTAGAGAGAAGTGAATGACGTATTTCATAGATCTCGAACTAAACTGCTACGGTTGGTCCATTGAAGACTTTTACCTAAGAACACTCTGTAATTTTATATAAGTGGCGTGAGAAACTGTCATGGGTGTACGGACCGAAGGCTTGTTAAGGGGCAGGCTGGTTTGCCCGAAATTTTCCCACGAATTTCATCTGTAATGTTGTTTATTTTAAGGTTGATGGCCGATATTTATTCGGCCGCTACCAAACCTGCCAAACAAAAAACTGTTTACGCTATCGCATACAGCTAGCAACATCTTATTATGTTCTAAAATATATACGGCTGTCTATCGGTGGAAATATAAGTCAAACCATGTTAGCCAAGAATTGTGACAAAGCACAACACAATGTTCTTATTGGTTTAGAATTGTAGGGCCAATGTCTAAATAATTGTTCTGTATCTCGCACTCACGGTGTCAGTCTATCAAGACAAGGTGACAGACTGATTTAATACCGGGCAACGTTGAATTCAAATTGCGGTAGCTCTGTGAAAGCGCCAGAGGAGCGTCTGAAAGGGTTCTTCCATCAGAAAATTTGTTAAAAAAAATTATTGTTGGTGCATTCTGGCACATATTTTGGGGCTAAAACGTATAAAATCATTTTTTTTTTTAATTTTCTAAACAATGAAGGGGGCCACGGCACTCACACTACTTCGGTCGGTCGGTCAAGGTAAATTATTCAGAATTTATCGCTATCATCTACGAATATTATGCAATTACATGAGCATAGCGTTTTTGAAATAGACGAGATATTGAATATCAGCGGCAGTGAATTATGACGATAAATTCTCGTGGATTGACAACTTCATGAAACTTATTTTCTCTTGATGTCGATATTTTAGTAATTGAATTCTCAGTGCGGTTTATTAAAGAAAATTGGTAGTTGAAAGATGATATATTGATTGGTGACCTTCTCGCAGTTTTCTGACATTGCCTGACACATCATCAATTAGTGAGATCATACAAGCTTCGCATTACATCAGATAAGAAAAGGCAATGACAATTATGAGTTGATGATGTATAATATAGTGTGATTTGGCTCTAATTGAAGAATACACGTTCTATGATAACGGGTGTCCCCGGAGATACAAGCATAAACATTATGATAAATGATAACGATGATTACTATGCCCGTGGTGAAACACATAAATTTCAAACGGTACTAACTAGATGTCAACAACTTTTAATATTAAAATCTGTAAAGAACTTGACGTAAGTGCTGTAGATGAGCTTCCTTGTCGTGACCCATTCCTGTCCGTAGTGGCTATTCATATTCTTCATCAATGTAATAAAATCTAATACGTGGTTAAAAACAGTGACAAGGTCGAGTGCTGAAACTGTCCGACTGGTAGAAAAGCCTTATGAACTAGCAGATTCTGACTACTTCAGATCGACGCCATGATTCATTGTTTGTGAGCAACTGTGGCTTTGACGTTGTTGGTGTGATTAATTTCATGGATCCAAGAGATTCGTTAAAAATCTAGTTACTCTATGATTCTGTTATTCGAATAGTCGATCTATACCCCTTCCCCTCCCATCCTATATTTTTAGACTCTTGTACAAGTTCACCTCAGTGTTACTTTCGACTAAATAAAGAAGAACATTATGTGTACGTTTACATTTTTCTACTTAAGACAGACTTTCAACCTATACTACATGGAATAGGCAAAAGTGTTACTTAAGGCAAAGTTGAATTTAAGACAAAGTAGAAGCGCTTCATCGCAGATGCACGTAAAACCTCCATTATTCATTGGATAATAATACGATTTTCAGACAAGTCAAGTGCAGCAACTGCAATATCCGATTGAAATTTATCTGAAGTCGACTGCCGATGAATTCATAATTTGCGTTGAAGAGTATAAAGAAAGAAAATCCTATTTGACTACCAAGTATTGGAAATAATATTGGACTGTATAAGGTCATTTAATCCTCTTCATGCAAACAAATTGAAAGAAAATGGAGTTTCGAGGAGCGTTTCAATAAAACTGGGACATCTTTTTCTATATATTCAATCGTTTATTACTTTATTTTCAACAAGTAGAACATTGGATAAGAGTTCGATTTTTCTTTCCTGTTTCTTAAGATTGATAAATGAAGACTTTACAAGTGCACTTTGATGTGTTTTGGTAAGAAGTTTGTTCAATAGCTGATAGAGTTATTGTTGGGTTTGAAGATATTTTACCCGTTACAAATCAATTGAACTTGAGAAAAGACAGAATTTCTGGTTTATGTAATATTCGATAGACAACAGAGTTTCTTTGATGTGGTAATGGCTCTCCATGTTCAACTAGATATACAAAAAATCAAAGAACAAGAAAAATTTTCTAATTTCTGACAAAGCTAATGCAACCAAAACATTTCTGTTCTATGCAAGAATATATATGCTGTTATTCGTCTTTTTTGCAAGCAACAGAGATTGTAAATTCGTCAGGAACAGCACTAGTTTACCTAAGGCGTATTCCATACACTTCATTGTCACATAGAATATGGTTGGTTGATTGCCAAAACTTAACCGATAATCAAGTATCAGATCATTAATCATTTATTTTCTAGATTATTTTTTAATTAAAAACCTGGGCCCCGTGTGCACACTAAAGATCCCTCGACAGTTTGAAATAAAAAAAAAGAGCAGTCTAATGCCGTTGTCCTGGCAAATTTTCCGCACCCCGCATGGCGTTTCCCGTCATTATTCCACATGGTGCAGAAAAATGGGACATTTCTTTTCATTTTGAATTAAAAAACTAAGCTGAACAAATTTTTATCGTGATTAATCTCTACATCACCCATGTATCATATATACCCTGGGATAACACTCCTCAACAATTATATCTTTTCACACTCAACACATTTTCGATTAAAAATGAAACAAAATTAAATCACTAAAGCGAGGAAAGTTCTTTGATTTCCTTCAGCTGGTGGTACTAGCATAAAGATCAGATGGAAAGTATTTGTCCACACCATAACATTCTTTGCTCTTTTGTTCGGCAGAGTATGCTAGTTATATTGAGTAATAGAGGGGCTTTCGCGCGAGTTTTGATAGGGGCTTCGACGGTTGGCCAAATGTCAGGCTGATCCTTCGACCACTCAGAAAAAAAAATGAGTAGGATAATTATCAAGGTAAAATTGTCTTTATTTTACACTGCATATCGTCAGTCTCATCACCCTAGTACGAAGTTTAACTTATTTTCGTTTATTTATATTGAATTACATTTACTTACATTATAAACATCGGGTCTATTATTTTTATTTAATTTCTCGTGCATATTTAACATTTAAAAAAAACAAATGGTAATTTTCTTTTACAGCTATCCGATATTTTGTCAAGTTGAACCTATAAGAAAATATCTGATACCAAATTATTTAAATTTTAACGACTCTAGAAATTATTCATGGCATCTGTGGCGCCTGTATATTATGTCCTGTGGGCGTAAGCCGATGCTATAAATCCTGTAGAAAAGATTCATGGAAACGAAAATATGAATAAGAAAGCTTAAAACATATTTGCTTTTAACCATCATTTATCATGTAATTTTGGTAAAGAAAAAAAAAACATTTTCCACACTTTGTTTTTGGCGTTTAATGTATATTCAGAAGTGTACCCTATATCTTATTAACTAGTGTTTTTCGGAAAATGATGTATTTAAATAAAAAATATTTTTCAACTGAACATGACAGAAGGGAGACAATTACACTTCAAATTTTCAGACAACATTAAAGTAATGTATTCATAAGGTCTCTCGCCTCTTGTTATTAAGTATGAAAAAAAAACGTATCCTCAAAATTACTGTTATATATTATTGTATATTCGATTATTCCATGTTAGCTATTAAATGAAATTTCACATTATTTGTTGATTTTGAGTTGAATAAAGCTAAAACTCGGAAAGGAATGAAATATTTAATGTAGAGTTATGTCCCTTATTCCAGAAATTTTAACTGGCTCTTACAATGTTATGTTATTGCTTACCAGTAAATCCAAGATAGATATTTTCACATAGACATGTAATGTGGAATTCAGATTATTTTCAGAAAGCAATTACAATGACGTATAAAGCTTTTGTGGGTTTTCAATATTAGTTGTTCATACTCCTAACGTAGAGAATCACTAGATATTTTATAAGTTAAGTAAAATATAAAAAAAAAGGTGTGCATACAAGTATGCAACATATCGAAATGCACCCTATTTTAAAAGTGTTATCATTGGTGTGCCCTTATCACTAGCACAATACATGCATGCAAATGTACGACCAATAATTACCAGAATTCGCATGTTTGCGACTACCTGTCGTCCGATTCATTCCAGCATTTGTAAATGCCCAATTGCAACCTGATGGTGATCAAAATCTGTTGCATTCTGCCCGTTTATTAAATGGCCGCTAACGATGATCTATTTCAGAAATAATTTTAGAAAAGATGTGACTTATAATTATTCTGTGTACATTACTGTTTCCGACTTTTTCTTCCATAAAATTGAGATCAACGTAATTACTAAGATAAACAAATCACTCTGTATATCTAAACGATTGATTAACCTCGATCATTACAAATAACAGAAGGTCTATTAATCGACAAGTACATAAAGCTAGCCCGGGTCTTACTAATTATTCTGAAGTTGTGCTTAGAATTTCCAGATAATAGATTGGATGGACGTCTTTAAAATTGTTGAAAAGTAAAGAAAAGTATAGAGTGATTTGGGATCATTTGAAATAAGCGAGATACGTGCCGTGTTCTTATATAAGAGAAAGCCGTAGATTTCCCTGAATAATAAAGTCACACTCCTTAATATGATATCACGTACTCGTCTATTCCATCCCGAAGTAGATGGATATTCAATTGAAATATTATATTTTTTTTAGCAGTTAAACTAATGATTAATAGCTCAGGTATATGCAACTTAGTTTATTTTTTTATTGCGAAATGTCACTTAGATTATATTAACAGCAGCTTTTGAATTTCGTTTTGAAGGTAAGGGATGTCTACAGAGAGGTTGGGTAGCTTATAAATAGTGTTTCACAAATTAAATTTAGAGCCCAACAACAGGCCGTTGATCTTGTTGGTGGTTAAACCCTAGGGGCCATGCTCCCACCGATTAGCTTTAAGCTTAATATCTGCAAACTGGATTATGAGGTTAACTTGTGCAGCCAGTTTCGCTAGCGTGGTAGACATGTTCATCCGTCTCGGACACATGCTGAAACTTTGCCCATAGAGCAACATGACATTCCCTTCCAGGAGTCCACGTAGCTTTAGTGTATATATGGTATACTAATTTCCTGGTGGACTCATTTTGTATTCCCACAAGCAATTATTCTTAGCTACAAGGGTATTTGAACTTCATCCCCAAATTCCTTGGAAGAGTAAACCTCCAATGACTACAA